CTCCTAAAAAGAAAAGTAAGCATAGAGCCATGTGTATCAGTATATTAGATCCTGCATGAGGTCTTAAAGAGACAGCAGCCTAAATGAACCTGCTGCTGTCTTTCATTATACAGTGAAGACTATCCAGTATTATTTTACAGTTGAATAGATTATAGTTAGACCTAACTGAAAACATTTATTGTTATTGTTTTTGTTTGTGCTATTGATTGTCATTAATTTATTTGTTCTTTTTTTATTATTTACTATTTACTTGTCTTTTTTAGTTAAATTCAATTCTGAGTGCACATGATTCTTGGGTGGGGAGGGGAGGGGGCATGGTCCATGAGAAATAGTCCTGCCACCACAGCTGGAAAACTAGAGGAAACACTGCATACATTTAATAAAATTAGAAAAATGCATTTACAAATGTAAAAAGAAAATGCCCCTGAAATCACTTTGAGTCAAATGTCAGCTCGTATTAGGAAGGCAATTCTGAGTGCACGTGATTCTTGGGTGGGGAGGGGGCGTAGTCCATGAGAATTAGTCCTGCCACCACAGCTGGAAAAAAATCCTAGGAAACACTGCATACATTTAATAAAATTAGAAAAATGCATTTACAAAGGTAAAAAGAAAATGACCCTGAAATCACTTGGAGTCAAATGTTTCATTGACTCATTTGAGTCAGAATTTTTTATTATTGATTAGAAGTTGCTCCTAATTTCTTTTAATTAGGAGGACAAGCGCTCCTAATTACAAGAAGAAAAACACTGCTCTTAAACTGGGTGTGTGACTACTTTAGTACTGTACATTTAGTTCTGGAACTAAAGCGCTGCGAAAGGCCCTAATGACGTTAAGAACCTACAAACACAGACTGCACAGACTGGGGCTAAATACACAGGATAATTGGGAAGACACAGGTGTATGGGATGACTAATTAAACTAAACGAGGACAGGAACAAGACCAAATAAGGGAACAGAAACAGGGGCAAAACATGACACAGACAGTCCATGATCCACACTGCTCTTAAACTGGGTGTGTGACGGGTTTGGCTGTGGAACAGGGCTTGGCCGAGGAACAAATTTTTTTTGCTTTAACCCCGTAATTTTCGCACATCAGGGAGCCGCTATCAATATGCGGGGTATGAAATTGCATTTGAATGAGCGCTCGCTGTTCACTTTCACTTTCGATTTTGCAATCACGCACACTCTGCGTAAAGGGCGCACATCTTACAGTGCGTGCATAATTATTAGGCACGTTGATATTCTGATCATATTTTTTTCCAAGCACATTTTACCCCCCAACATATATTCTACTCACTATAAGCAACTTTGCAAGTACATCAACTTATTCTACCAACCCTAACCTTAACTAAGCCTACTAATTAGTTGACATGTAGTTGCAAAGTTGCTTATAGTCAATAGACTAAAGGGGACCATCAAAATAAAATGTTATCTAATAAAAAAACACGTTGCATTTTTTCGTTTGAAAGTATTACAACTGATCTTAAACTAGCTCACAGCAAAATTAAAATTAACCTCACAGGAAACACTCAAAAACACTCAACCACTCCTAACCTCTCACAAGATGTAGTAAGATACTGTGCAGATCTTAAATAAACAATGTCAAGATATGAGACTTATAGTCCATTACAAATTAAGTGGATTTAACAGGGTGCTCTTTGTGTGTTATAAATGATCATTCTCTTAATTTTTAATTTTTTTTTTTATAATGCATTCATTATAATGCCTTAAGAATACCCTTACAATGTATTATAAATACAGGCTTCATAGAAAGTGTTACCAAAATTTGATTTTAAATGTCTCTTGAATTGTGACGTTTGATGTTTTCAACAGACAATAATTAACCTCAGAACCATATTTAATGTCATCTGGGTCATATATATATATATATATACAGGGTTCCCACGCTTCTTGAAAGTACTTGAAAGTACTTGAATTTCAGACATATGGACAAAAACAGCTTAGTGAAAAGCGTTTACAGTTTAAAAGCAAATAGAAAGTCCTATTTTTTAATTTATTTTCTTTATATTGTTTTGCAGATTTGCACATGTACAAGGTTTAAAATGTTCATGGAATATTTTCAAAAAATATTGACGTTTTGAGCAGCTGCATTCCTCTAGGTCAAAGATGAAAAAATGGGATTTACAATAAAAAGTCATTTACAAAATTATTTTGACTTGAGTTTATTTATTAATGAGTAATGTCTCCTCATTACTATACTATAGAAAAGAACTACAGCAAAAACCAGTTTGATGCATATTTTATCAATATTTTAGAAATTGAATTTGAATTTTACCAGTACTGACTTCAATGGATTTCATTAAATTCCTTTGAACACAACTGCTCAAAATAGCCTAAATTTATGAAACCTACACATTCAAAACATTATTACTCTGAAATTTTTAATATAAATGTTAAGTGTAAGTGAACTGTTAAGTAATTAAGGTCTTTCATGACACTACATATGCTGGGGTGTGAATTTGATAGTATATACTCTCACACACGTACATTCTCCTTTCACATACATATATTTTTGCTTTCACACACTTACATTCTCCTTACACATGCATACATTTCTACTCTCACGCACACATACATTCTCCTTTCAAATACATATATTTTTGCTTTCACACACATACATTCTCCTTTCACATGATACATTCTCCTTTCATATATATATATATATATATATATAGAATGTATGTATGTCTGAAGAAAATATGTGTATGTAAGAGAAGAATGTATGTATGTGTGAGAGAGAGTATAGTGGAAACGGAAGGAGTAGCTATAGTGGAAACGGAAGGCAGGTCAGGCACGATCAGGGTCACCAGGACAGGTCCTGATCAGTATGGCTGAGGTAGATGAGGCGGCTGCAGAAGTATTTCAGCAAGCTATGTGGGTTTAAAAAATAAATAAATATTATCATCGTGAAAAGGTTGTATGGCCTCATCCCTTGATTGAGTTGTGATTGAAGACGTGGGCTCAGCCTCAGTCGTGTTGCCAGATACACGTATTATAAGCATCTATGGATTTTTTTTTCACTTAATTTAGGAAGTGAATAAGAAGTAATGGATACCAAAAAAAGGTAGAGATGTATGTATGTGAAAGGAGAATGTACTGTATGTGCGTGAAAGCAGAAATGAATGTATGTGTGTGAGAGAGAGTAGAAATGCATGTATGTGAATGGAGAATGTAAGTGTGTGAGAGTGCCAGAATGAATTATGGCTTATACGGCCCCTCATAAGAAAACATACATTATCATACAAGCATGAATGTATGTATGTGTGAGAGAGAGTATAGTGGAAACGGAAGGAGTAGCTATAGTGGAAACGGAAGGCAGGTCAGGCACGATCAGGGTCACCAGGACAGGTCCTGATCAGTATGGCTGAGGTAGATGAGGCGGCTGCAGAAGTATTTCAGCAAGCTATGTGGGTTTAAAAATAAATAAATAAATAAATAAATATCATTGTGAAAAGGTTACATGGCCTCGTACCTTGAGTGAGTTGTGATTGAGGACGCGGGCTCAGCCTCAGTCGTGTTGCCAGATACACGTATTATAAGCGTCTATGGAATTTTTTTTGTCACTTAATTTAGGAAGTGAATAAAGTGGGAGGTTGCAAGTTAGGGACAGCGATATCTTTATATTATTTCCATAACTCAAGATTTGGACTCATTGCGGTTTCCATGTATGTGAAAGGAGAATGTAAGTGTGTGAAAGTAGAAATGCATGTGTGTGAAAGGAAAATATATGTGTGAGAGAACAAATGCATGTATGTGAAAGGAAAATATATGTGTGTGAGAGACCAAATGCATGTATGTGAAAGGAGAATGTATGTGTGTGAAAGCAAAATATATGTATGTGAAAGGAGAATGTAAGTGTGTGAGAGTGCCAGAATGAATTATGGCTTGTATGGCCCCTCATACGTTTCTTCTACAAAATGGTTTGTGCATATAGTAGATTATTTGTTTTCCACATTCTTGATTGTAAGCTTTGGATTTAAGTCCTAAAAATCCAAGAGAATGTATTCCTGTCTGGGTTAATCTTGCCTGAGGTATATGTACGTTATCCTGTCTGCGCTTATAAGCGTGATGGAGACTGTTATGGCTTCTTCACATCAAAGCAGATTAGCTAGTCACTGCAGCTGTAGCACGTATAGGAAGTGATATCTTATCAGTCTTATCCTTAATGCGCGGCATAAACAGTCTCCTAACTTGACATCTTTATGATGCCTTGTCTCGGTTTAGCATACCTGCTCTTTATCTTGGATTTATATATTGCTGTGGAGTAACGAAATACATAAAGATAGGCAAGTTAGGGACAGCGATATCTTTATATATTTCCATAACTTAAGATTTGGACTCATTGCGGTTTATTTATTTTTGGATTATTTTGTTTGTTTTTCAATACCTGGCAACGCCGGCATTTAAACTGACAGTAATCAAAAACGACCTGGTTAAAAACAGTGTGGGCAGGTTATTCCTGACGGGATGCAATTTGGTAACACAAACGTAATGATCATCATGATATATGATCTGTAAGACAGATGCACTGAAGACGGACACAAAGAGGAGAGAATAGTCGCAAGCAGAGAAAATACTGTACCAGAGAGAACAAATTCATTGTTTGCCATGCTCAAAATACTGAAAGAAAACCATAATTATGGAATTAGGGTGGGGGTTAACATGGATATATTTCTGAGGAGAACTGACTGTCTTCAGAAAAGTTTCGATGGCATTTTCTTTTTCCTTTTACCTTCATTAAATACATATTAAAGGAGTGTTAATAAGTGCAGCGCTGCGTACAGCAATAACTCAGGAAACGCTGCTAGTGTTCTATAAGCACCACCTGCTGTCAGAGATTGAATTTGCATTTTCATCAGAATCAGAAAGAGCTTTATTGCCAAGTGTGTTTA